GCCTATGTTATGGATACCCCGATAAGGGTAAGGCGATCGTGGATGATGTACCAATCGTACAGGAGTATTCGGATGTGTTCCCAAAGGATTTGCCTGGGGTACCTCCGGAGAGGCAAGTAGAGTTCAGGATTGACCTAGTTCCTGATGCGGCTCCGATAGCCAAGGCACCATATCAGTTGGCTCCTCCCGATATGTAGGAGTTGTCTACACAGCTGCAAGAGCTGTTAGACAAGGGATTTATCAGGCCGAGCAGTTCGCCATGGGGAGCCCCGATCCTGTTTGTGAAGAAGGACGAGTCACATCGGATGTGTATAGATTACCAAGAGTTGAATAAGGTGACGGTGAAGAACCGTTATCCCCTCCCGAGGATTGACGATTTATTTGACCAGCTTCAGGGAGCATCTTGGTTCTCCAAGATTAATCTGCGATCGGGTTATCACTAGATGCAAGTCAGGGACGATGATGTGCAGAAGACAGCCTTTCAGACTCGCTATGGTCACTATGAGTTCGTGGTGATGCCGTTTCGGCTCACCAATGCTCCTGCCGTGTTCATGGATCTCATGACCTGCGTGTGCAGACCGATGTTGGACCAGTCTGTGATAGTCTTCATCGATGATATCTTGGTTTACTCCAAGACTCAGGAGCAGCATGAGGAGCACTTGAGGGAGGTGCTGGAGACATTGAGGAGGGAGAGACTTTTTGCAAAGTTCTCCAAGTGTGAGTTCTGGTTGCGCGAGGTGCAATTTCTGTGGCACCTTGTCAACCAGAAGGGTATTCTAGTCGATCCGGCCAAAGTAGAGGTTGTGATGCAGTGGGAGGTTCTGCGGTCTCCATTTGAGAATCGGAGTTTTCTTGGTCTAGCGAGTTGTTATCGGAGATTCATCCAGGATTTCTCCAAGATTGTTGTCCCACTGACCCGACTGACCACGAAGTCAGTGACATTTCGCTGGGGGCCTGAGCAGCAGGCGGCGTTTAAGACTTTGAGGCAGAAGTTATGCGAGGCACGAATATTGACCCTGTCAGAGGGCGTTGAGGATTTCGTGGTATACTGTGACGCTTCAATCATGGGTGTGGGTGCAGTGTTGATGTAGAGAGGATGTGTCATCGCTTACGCTTCAAGACAGCTGAAGCCTCATGAGGCGAATTACCCGACGCACGATTTGGAGCTGGGGGATGTGGTTTTCGCCCTCAAGATTTGGCGACATTACCTCTATGGGGTTCATTGTACCATTTACACGGACCACAAGAGCCTGAGGTATTTGATGGACCAGCCAAATCTGAACGTGAGGCAGCGTCATTGGTTGGATGTGGTGAAGGATTACGACTGTGAGATCCTTTATCACCCGGGGAAGGCCAATGTGGTGGCCGATGCTCTTAGCCGCAGGTTGGTCGCGGCTCCGATTCGGGATATCTGCCTAAGGATGACAGTGATTACTCTGCTGCTAGAGCGAATCTGAGAGGCGCAGGTAGAGGCTATGAAGGAAGAGCACCGGAAGAGTGAGCGCATAGTGGGTCAGGGGGCTTCCTTTGATTACGATAGCCGTGGGTTGTTGACCCTGCATCGGAGGAGGGTATGGGTCCCTTACTGGGTCGGTGTACGCCAGATTCTGATGGAGGAGGCCCACAAGTCAAGGTTCTCTACCCTGATTATTGGTGACCCTACATGAAGCGGGATGTGGCCTGGTTTGTGGAGTGGTGCTTAACATGCAGGAAAGACAAGGCCAAGCACCAGCGACCTCACGGCAAGATGCAGCCGTTGGAGATTCCCGTGTGGAAATGGGAGGACATCACTATGGATTTCATTACAAAGCTTCCCAGGACCGTACGTGGGGTGGATTCGATTTGGGTCATCGTGGATCAGTTAACCAAGAGTGTACATTTTATCCCGATCCAGGAGAGTATATTGGATGAGAAGCTAGCCTAGATCTATGTACGCGAGGTGGTGGCACATCATGGAATGTCGGTTTCGGTTGTGTCAGACCGAGATATTCACTTCAGTTCCAGATTTTGGAAGTGGTTTCACAATGAGATGGGTACTCGTCTTCACTTCAGTACAACTTTTGACCCTCAGACGGATGGGCGGAGTGAGAGGACGATTCAGACTTTAGAGGATATGCTACGCGCATGCGTATTGGATTTTGGTGGGAGTTAGGATACGTATCTTCCGTTAACAGAATTTTCGTATAACAACAGTTACCACGCTAGCATAGATCGACCTCCATTAGAGATGCTCTACGGGAGGAAATGTAGGACCCCAATCTGTTGGGGTGAGGTCGGTCAAAGATTCATGGGGAGTACTAAGGTGGTACTCAAAACTACAGAGAAGATCCAGCAGGCTCCAGACTGCTTAGAGTCGGCAGAAAAGCTATGCCGACAAGCGTCGGTCAGACTTGGAGTTTCAGGTGGAGACATGGTTCTCCTGAAGGTTTCACATTGGAAAGGTGTCATTCGGTTCAGGAAGCGGGGCAAGCTGGGCCCAGGTATATCGATTCATTTAGGGTTTTGGCTCGGGTGGGCTGGGTTGCTTATCATTTAGATCTTCCAGCAGAGCTCATCCAGATCCACAGCACTTTTCATGTCTCTCAGCTATGGAAGTGCTTAGTGGATGACTCTGCAGTTGTGCCTTTAGAGAATATTCAGGTGGACGACCGCCTAAATTACATCGAGAGACCAATAGCCATCCTCGACAGAAAGACGAAAACCTTGAGGAACAAGGTTGTGCAGTTGGTGAAGGTGCAGTGGCAGCACCGTAAGGGCTCGGAATGGATTTGGGAGCCAGAAGAGGAGATGAGGGAACATTACCCAGAGTTATTTGAGGCAGCAGACTTCGAGGACGAAGTCTGAGACAAGTGGGGGAGAGTTATAACGCCTGGTTACTGGTATGTATTTAATTTAGTAATTATTCAATTTATAAGAGTAACTCGACGATCTGGAAGCCCCAAACTCGTCGAGTAGAGATCATATGGGCCGCGTAATTTAAGTAACCTACTCGACGAGTTGAGAAGCCTCAACTCGACGAGTAGGCTGGCAGAGGAGAAACCCTAATTTTCGGGGTTTGCACCCTATTTAAGCACCTTAAACCTTCCATGTTGGCCTCATTTCCAGCCTCCAAGTCCCAAACCCTAAATCTCGAAACCCTAATTCTATTGTGAGTGTTTGTGAGTTATTTGAAGTGTTTTAGTGTGCGTTTTGAAGCCATTGGAAGAAGGAGAAGCTTGAGGACACACGAGGGAGTTTATAGATCCAGAACCCTTGCCTCATCCACGACATTTTGCTAGTATAAAGCTTGAACCTTGATTTGTAGTTATTTAGATCTTCTTTTGGGGTGATTTTGCTTAGTTTGGTCCAAATATCATGGTCCTTGGGAGTTGGACGTCCCAAATGGATTTACACTTCAGATCTAAGGTCTTGAGGGGTTTTCATGGCATAAAGATGCCAACTTTATGGCCATGGAGGTCCCATGCAACCTCTAGACCATCATTTTGGTCTTTTGAAGCTTTTATGGCCATGCATGTGGATAAAGTTTAAGGCTTTACGTGATCATTTAGTCCCTAGAGTCCAGATCTATGACCTCATGGTCTATCTTGTAGTTTTGGTGATGTTGGGATTAAGACTTTGGCCTTTTGGGTTAGCGTTTGAGCTTAATCCATTTAAGAAAGGAATTAATGGGTAAAGCTGGAAGCTTTACCCTTCTAGAGGCATTTCCAGTCTAGATCTGGAATAAGGGGCTTGGACTTGAAGAATAAGGGCTTAATGCATTAAGAAGGATTGACAGACTAATGAACTCGACGAGTCCATAAGGGAACTCGGCGAGCTGGTTTGGAATATTCCCGACTCTGTTGAAAAGAAGGAACTCAACGAGTCCACAAGGGATATATATATAAAAGAACTATTTTGGAAAATATGAATGATTTTAATTGATTCTTAATTATTTAAAATTTTCCTAAATTAAATGAATTTATCTATATACATTTTGGTTTAAGATGAATGTAATAACTATTTTGGAACATCAAATTGAAAAAGATGAATGAAAAAGATGAACTATATTGGAACATTAAATTGAAAAAGATGAAAGATTGTAATTGATTCTTAATTATTTAAAAATTTCCTAAATTAAATGAACTTATCTATATACATTTTGGTTTTTTCTTCTACAACCGGTTACTCTTCGTCCACTTATGTCTAACTTTTTTTTTTAAATCTACCCTTTAGTCTATTTGATAAATTTGTGTACATCTGTTACCTTGAGGTTGTGATAGTTAAAGAGAAATTGAACCCAAAAACTCGAATTTTATTCCCCCCTTTTTTCTGTATGGTTGGGCAACAATGCTTTGAGATGTCATTTCTAAGGAATATTGTCTATAAAGTATTTTGATTTGACTAAACAACTATTGTCTATGCACTACCATCTGTTGAAGAATGGAATGAAGATTAAAAACGGAAAAGACTTCTCAAAAATTGAGACTATTAACCAATTATGCGACGTCATTTGACATTTGTGGCTCAATTAGGGTTTTTTAGGTCATTTGGTATGCTTTTCTTTTCTCTCTTCTCTTTTTTCAATATTTGTTTTTCTACACACCCATATCTTTAACTAAATGGAGCAATCATGTGATGGATCTACGGTTAACCACACGCATCTCATATATAATGTTTGGATGGGACATTGCCTACATCTTCTTTTTCATGCGTTGCTACCGTGGCATCGTATTTGCGATTAGAGATAGCAAAACGGTAAAAAAAATGTGAGGCTTGCCTCATACGGTATTTTGTGTGCGTTAAAATCCATAAAAATTTGAAGTTGTCATCCAAAAAACTATTTTATGATGAGGCATAGATATATTCTTGATCTAACGTCTGAACAAAAAACATGAACACCACTTCATCATTTTCATAGAAAACAACTTTCTTGTTGTGCAAAAGACATAAATACTTTCATTATAAAAAATAACCCTAAAAAATTTGTCCGATTATATGCCATACAACGAACGCAGAAAAGCAACCAAAAGTCAAGATGAACCATGATTGATAAATAGAACATGATGCCTCATATATCCATAATCAAGAAAATATTTCCTAAGCAACAGCATAAGATTTTTCATGATTAGATAAACGGTTAATATCAATCTTGCATCTTGATTAAAAAAAAAAAAAAAAAAATCTTATGACTATTTTGATACTCTTTTCAATCTCTTCTAACTTCCATGGACCACAACTCTTTCTAGGCGACTCTTCACAAAAAAAACCCAAAGAAACAATTTCTCAAAGCATTCTTCCCCACCTTTTATATCTGCAATCATGCCAAAATTACATAAATTTATCAACAAGAACTACGACTCAAGCTTTCTAGGACTATTTTCAATAATGAAGATGAAAATGACATTTACGTCTTTTGCATAGACTAAAGATCGAGAACACATGTCTATGTCTCACCTTTTTAAATGGACTAAAAATCTATAATTTATCTCACTGTTCGGACTTTTTTGTTGGGTTTATTTCTGAAAAAACCCAACATTTTGACCCGTTTTTAACATGATATTAAAAAAGTTTACTATCTAAACCAAAAGTCTCGCATAACTTTTCACTTTTTTCCTTTTTACCTATTTTATAGGTAAAATATAGACTTTTTTCACGAAAAAAAAGGTCAAAATATTGTGTTTGTTATGCATATAAGCAAAAAGTGTTATTATATTGTGTTTGTTATGCATATAAGCAAAAAGTGTTATTTGCATACAAGACGCAACATTTTGATAACTTTTTCCGATAAGACTTGTATCGGATGGAAACCTATAAACCAGGTAAAAGACAAAAACAAAAAGTTATGCCAGACTTCTGGTGTATACATTGACATAAACCTGTATCAATATCAGTCTCAGTACCACATTGTTCCACTTTTGAGTCTCAGTACCACATTGTTCCACTTTTTGAGTGAGACAAAAAAAAATTATAATTTTTGTCTCATTTACATCTGTCTCTGTCTCTGTCCCAATGTCCCAATGTCCGTCCCACTTTCTCGGGTACAACAAAAAAATTGCAATTTTTGTTTCATTTACATATGTCCCTTTCCCATGTCCCAATGTCATGTCAGCCCACTTTCTTCCATTTTGGGTAAGACAAAAAATTGACTTTTATCGCTATTCCACCTTTGACTTTTATCGCTATTCCACCTTTTTTAGTAGGACAAAAGTTGCAACTTTTATTGCGGGTCCCACTTTATTCCAACTTTTTGGGTAGGACAAAAAATTACAATTTTTGTCTCACTGACATCTGTCTAGGTCCCACCTCTTTGGGTGGTGCAAAATAATTTAATTTTTTTCTCATTGGCATCAATCCTCGTGAAAGTCCAATGCAATACAATCCTGCATTACAAAACAATGCTGATGAAAATAAAAACAAAACCCACCTCATTTCTCAAAACCTTTTGGTGATTTTCTTCCTAATTCGACCTGAACAACAAGCAAGATTCTCACTTTCTTTTGTTTCTTGCTTCTGCTTTCCAATTTCTTCCACTTGGGGTACTCGAAAGTTCTCTAGTGTCCACAAAATTCGATTGATTTCCCAAATTTCTTAAATCTATACTTTCTTTTGTAGATGTAGAACTGGAAGCATTCTGTTGTTGTTGTTGTTGTTGTTGTTGTTGTTGTAGCAGATGTGCCCTTCGTGCGTCTTTTTTCCAGTTTCTTTGACTGTAGACACGGGTTACAATTTCCATGGGGGTATTGTTGACTAGGGTTTCGGGAAGTTGTTGTTGACTTGGTTGACTTGGTTGACTAATGATATATGATGCTCTCTTCATATCGGCTTCTTGACGCTTTCTAGCCCTATATCTGCGTTGCCTTTCTCTGTTCTTAATACGGCGAGCTATCACTTCAGGGTCATTTTCGTCAAAAGGGATCATTTGCATATCATTCATTGTTGACATGTTAATCATGTTGTGACCATTTTCCATTTCGAATGGAGGTTGAAACATCTGCATGGAAGTAACTACTTTCAGTTTATTGGATAAGTTTAAGGCTAAATGCATGATATAGCAATGCACTTTCATTTATGTGTTTATTATAGCATCCTACTTTTATTTCTTTCTTTTACATCATTGTACTTTCAAGAATCTACCTGATTATAGCAATGTCATCAAAATGCAGTGTCATAATAAGCAAATATTAAATGTGGAATGTTAGATTTTACAAGGTCATATCTTAATTAGAAAAAAAAAAGAAACACTGAAGTACAATGCAGTAATAGAAAGAAATGTAAGATGCTAAGACTTAACAATTGGATAGAAGTATGTTGCCATTTCTTGCATTTACATCAAAAGGTATACGCAATTGGTAACAGACAAATAGATTTGTGTTAAAAATGTAAAATAATATATCTTCATTATTGGATTGGCAAATAAAAGTTTGACATTCAAAGTCAAAAGATGGCAACTACCAGAGAATGAAAAGGGACATTCATTGACATTGAACAACAAGAGATAAAAGTATGTTGCTATTTCTTTCTATTTTTGATGATGAGGATGAGGGCATTTATGTCTTTTGCACAAACAAGAGGGAGAGAGAGGGAATCCTAGGTGTAAACTTATCTCATTTGCACAAAAAAGAAGTGCCCTCCTTCTCTATCAGATGTCTTCAATTGACTTAGAATGTCAAACAAGTTGCTTCAATTTTAAAAATGAAATGAAAAGATTTAACGTTAAAAAAAATTAAAAACTAAATCGAAGAGTACAAGTGAATTAACATAAACCAAATAGCAATTGATACCTAATCACATTATGAATCTCATTAGATTCATAATCGTATCTCATTAAATATGATCCCTTCACCATAATGAGTTGATCATTTGACAGTATGCAAAAAGAACGATTTATTAGAGAAGGTCAGGAAAAGGGAGCTTTCCCCATTAAGTCCTAACTGTTTACAAATTTTCCCTCTTTTGTTTTTTCCTTCCATATCCCCAATTATGAAGTCTTTCTCTTAAATATCTTTTGAACATCAACATAACACTTTATCAAAATAAATCCAGAACAAGTGATAGTCAAAATGGGTTTCCATATCCAAATTTATTACTAACTATAATTGGGTGTATAAGACAATGCTAAGTCTAGAATCTATAATAAATCTAGAACAACCTTGAGAAATTAAACATGATTTCAGAATCCAATTTTGGTTTTCTTCTCAAAGAAAAACAATTCATAGAACAAACAAAAACCAGAAACAATTTATTACTATAAATAGTTAGATACTCCAACAACTTCACAAGTTTAGGTATCCAATTGCATCGAAGCAATTTGATATCAACCGGAAACTACACAAAATTCTTTCCCATTTGCAAAAAAGGGTGCCAAAAGAAATCATAATGCAAGCAATCTAACAGATTATATAGCAATAAATAAATGATAAAGAGATATCGTAAACGGAAGCGGGAGCACACCCACGATGAAAAAAATCATACCGAGAATTCTATACAACAAATGCAATCAAAATACACATATAGATAATGAGATAGAGATCAAGAGTTAAACGTAAAAGGGGGGAAATGAAGCAAAAGACGTTACCTTCAACAGGAAAACTAATTACCCGGCAAGATCGAGCCAATCGTTAACATGATTAGAGTGAGAAACCGATTGATTTGTTCAGAAGAGAGTGAGATGCATGCAAAAAGAAACAGATGTGAAATCAATTTATCGTCGATCGATTTACACCAATTGTTGCCAAGTCTTTCGCTCTAAAGCGCCCTCGGAATTTGGTCTCTGAAAAACGTAGGTACGAAGTTTTTCACGAGAAAGAAGAAAATATTGCTTTTTTATGCTAAATGGTAAAATAGCTTCTTTCATTATTTATTCCCTTCACTAGTGGTAGCGGTGGTATAGTTATACGTATTGAGTAAAATCAAAATGTTAAATACGAAAAATGAAAAAGTGAAAATTACAAGAAAAAAAATAAAAATTAACATACGAAAAATGAATAAATTAAAATTACGTGTTTATTTGTTAGACCCAATATATTAAACGGATTAATTATAACAAATTGTTAAATACGAAGGTTTAAACTGTAACTTATTAAAAATCGAATATGAAATTTGAAATTTGAAATTTAAAATTAATATAGTCGTTATGGAATATTTAATTTATGGAAACTAAATTAATCATATATTGGAAAATGAAAAAGAAAATAATTGACAAGTTGAAAATAAATATCTCAAAATTATGACAAATGATATGTGTCCAATTGAATGAGAAAATGACATCTGATAGAATGAATCTTTATTATTATAAATTTTATCTTTTTCTTGTTTATAGCAATGTAGTTTCAAACAAATTAAGTAAACTAATCCTTATAAATAAATACATTAAAAATAATAAATTTTTTCTAAAAATTGGAAAAAAATGAAGTTTTACCAACTTGCTAGT